TTGTAAATAGAGGTTCAGTAAAACCCGACCGAAGCTGTTACCTTGACGTGGTGGTCAGGCTTGCCTATCGCTATGACTCAAGCGAGCTATATTGGCTGGAACATATGTTCCTGAAGGTTCTATCATACCAGGGAGATCGATTGGAGAACGATGAGACTAAAAGCAGCTACTCAAGGTCTGAGGGCGAAGTCGTACTGCTGACTGCACAGGGGTGTGATAGCAGTAAGGTGTTTCCCTCGGACAACCAGCATCTGCAGTGATGCTCACAAGGAAGGAAGGGTTAGAATAGGTCGACCCTAGAAACGTCACATCTTACCCTACCTCACGGATTTCCATCTCCATCGGTAAGGGTGCTCACTAAGGGCTTTCAAGAGCGGGGCTAATACTCAAAAAACCCTTCATAAAAAGGCCGTGCGTGACCGGCCTCAAGCAGTTGTCCCTTGGGCTCTGCAGTCACGCTCCCGGGTATTTAAGACCAACACTAATCTACCTTCCTTTTCAGGTTCCTCAAGAAACAACCTCCCACGGTGTGGGCAACCGGGAGGTGACAATCGCCCTTATACCCGTAACAGCATACGAGACCAAATTGGTCGAAATCAAATCCTTCCTACACCCCCTAATACCTCTGTCTGTTTCAGTAAAACAATCACTGGTACAATTGGTTAAAATAATGAATGTTTCTATTAAACCCATCGCATTCTCTTCATTAAATTAAATTCACTACAATGTCTTTAATGGGCTTTGTTGTACGGTGTTTATGAGTTTGGAATTGTTGACATTAAAAACATCAGTTCGCTTATAGATTCTTTGTTTTTTAATTAATAATATATTATAAATGGACAAATATTGAATCGCGATAGTCATCTACAATTAGTCAACTTAATGAACAAAATATATACTATGGTATATTAATTAATGTAGCGGATTTAAAATCAAATTTAGTTTAGCTAGTTAAATAAATATCATGCTTTACCAAAATTACTAACTCGGTCTTCATCTAGAATAAGTAAAGTATATGGCTAAGTACCACAGAAAGTATCATTCATTTGTATCAGTTTGAGGTAGATGAGCTACATTGGTGCTCCACTGGATTTGCCAGGATTTTACGGTGTAGCTGAATTTATGTATGTACATTCCTTCTCCTCAAAAAATGAATTCATTCCTTGGTCAATGATATACATTCATTCTTTCAAACATTTCTAATTATCATCAAGTGATCTCATTCGGTCACTTCTGATTAGCTATACATATTTTCGATGATAAGTTTTATCAACAGAGTTTAAACGTGTACATGCTGAAATATAAAGTGAAAGTATCTCCTTATTTCATCAAGATTTAAGGAGATTCAAAATGATTAGAAGTTGTTCAAATTTTGACTGTCTGAAATTCATGTAAGCTTTACACGACCGATACTTTCGGATAACGTAACCTGTCAAGCAAGACAACAGTGTTTAGTTACTTAGATGTAATAATTTGTTTCTTGACTACAGTACTGAACCTTCAGATACAAATCGATTTCACTACCTTGAGATTAATTTTATGACTACAGTGAATAAACTTGATAAGAAGGTCATATTGTTTATTGTTTTGTATTTGAACACTGATACCACAAACATAAAATGGAAATAATAATCTGTGACTCTTTTGTATAATTTTTTTGAAGACTGAATTATTGATTTTATTCGCTTTATTATTTTATTTTTAATCGAAGAAAGAAACAGATGTACGATAGTCGTTTTGCTGAAAATAATTACCTTTAATAGAATGAGAAACTATCATTACATCTAATTGAAATGCTTGAAACTATTACAAGTTCACCTTACTCGGTAAACGGAACGAAGATCAATGATGCAGTGACACGATAGGCTATTCTAATGCGATTGTCCCAGGCCCCGCTAACTAGAGCAAGAAGTCTTGATAAGGCGTAGAGAATGTGCACCCAGAAAATACGAGGTGGCTAAACACACAAATCAAGCTTATTTATACAATGATAGAAACGTTCTTAGGAGAGTCACAAAATGGAATACTAAAATAATCTATCAACCAATGGCAACCAAGGATTTTCCGATTAGGAAGTGTGCGCTGAAGGTCAACTAAGCGTCCTTGGCGCGAAAACATAAAAATTCAAAAATTTCAGAATAAATTACAAGTGAGTTCTGGAGATCGAACGTCCCCGACGCTAATGTAGCGTTACATTCTATTTCATTAACTTTACTCATTTCAGATTCTTTATATCTAAAATGCTCTTCTTAGG